ATTCGAACCCGCCACCTTAGGTGTATGTGGCTGGCGCCTTAGCCACTTGAGCCACAGGCGCCGAGCCTGAAACTTTTTTTAATTCTAGCTTTACAAATTTGATTTCTAACTTAAAGACTTCAGATAATTAAAAAACATTTTTTTTCCCACAAAAGAATTTGGAATCTTATTGCTGAAAATGCTCTCCTTTTTTTGTGACAACTATATTTTCCCATTCATGGAATGGAGAGTTACAATGAAATTCTCATATGAGGACTAGAAACAAAGTTAGAGACAGACAAATTTAAGTTTTGTTTTGTTTTTTTTGAGACAGAGCCTTAAGCTGTCCCCTTGGATAGAGTGCTGTGGCATCACAGCTCACAGCAACCTCCAACTCCTGGGCTCAAGCGATTCTCCTGCCTCCGCCTCCCAAGTAGCTGGGACCACAGGCACCCACTACAACACCTGGCTATTTTTTGGTTGCAGCCATCATTGTTCTTTGGCGGGCCCTGGCTGGATTCGAACCCGCCACCTAAAGTGTATGTGGCTGGTGCCTTAGCCACTTGAGCCACAGGTGCCGAGCCAACAAATTTAAGTTTTAAAAGTATTTCCAAGTTTGAAGTCTTATTTTGGCAATAGGTTAAAGTGGGAAATTAGGGAAATGGTTAAGTAAATTGTTAAGATATTTAACATCATACAATATGACACAATCATTTCATTTTTAAAAAATGAAATAAGAAAATTTAAGTTAAACATATTAAGAATAAAAATCACAGTTTGAGTATGACTTTATGTAATAAAAAATGCATTGAAGAAAATATGTAGCTGTGAAAGCTTTGGGGTGAGTATGGATGATTTTTCCCCATTCCCGGCATACTTCTTTATTTCTCAGATTCTCTATGGTGAGCATGTATTCCTTAGCTTGTCAGGAGCCGTTCGTCCTCATTATCCACAGCCAGCATCTTTTATCTAATTCTGTTTCTTACATATTACAAGGGGTTGAAGTATATTTGAGGAAGCCCTCGGTTTGGTAAACATTAGCTTCTTTGTTTTTATGGCTGAGTTTATGTACTTTTGTCTTTCAACTTTTTAAAAGTGATCATGGAAAGTGGGTTAGGGTGTTAGAGAGTTTTCCAGTTTTTTAAAATTACTCTTACATACTTAAATTAAACACCTCGCCCGCTGGTCATGGTACTAAATATGGTATTAACCACGATAAACACGGTTCTACCACTGGATTAGTAAAATGTGTATGGTCTCTTTTTGGCCTCAGAGTTACTAATTCCTTTAAAAATAAATGCTTTGTGTTTTAGAATACAAAGTAAGTTTCTATCACATAAGTCATACTTTTGATTATGTTTATAAGAGAAAAGAGAGAGAGAGACTAGGGAGAACTCATTTTGTTTAATAATCCCTTTAAAATTTATATTGCTTACTGAAAGATGACTTTATATTTTCCTAATGTTGTGTAAAAATTTTCATTAGAAATATTTTTGAGGCTGGTTGCCTATAGATCAACCGGCTAAGGCACCAGCCACGTACACCTAAGGTGGCAAGTTTGAATCCCCAGCCCGGACCTGCCAAAACAACAATGACGGCTGCAACCAAAAAAAAAAAATAGCCGGGCGTTGTGGCTGGCACCTGTGGTCCCAGCTACTTGGGAGGCGGAGGCAGGAGACTCGCTTGAGCCCAGGAGTTGGAGGTTGCTGTGAGCTGTAATGCCACAGCACTCTACCCAGGGGGACAGCTTGAGACTCTGTCTCAAAAAAAAAAAAAAAAAAAAAAGAAATATTTTTGAAATAACATTCTGTCTTAAGTAGCAACAAAAAGAAGCAAACACTGCATTGTCCTTATTAATATACAGACTCTTTCCTTAAATGAGAGCCATGAATATTTACTACTTTGGGACTGGGTCAGAGCTTTGAGAACTGAGCTTGAATCATAAAACTCTTGTGGAAAGACCTTGAGAGGGCAAAAGGACATGCAGGACCCCCAGGGGTGTAGGTAGTCAGTGCTCTGTTAGGGGAGGATGATCTAAAGTGGTCACCCACGGCAGTCTAGTTAGGGGGTTTCTTTTGTTGCGGTCCCTTGTGGTCAACTTACAGAGATTCTACTATAATTCATATTTCCATGAATGCATATCATTATTTCTAGAATGACACAAGTTTGGCAACATCTTTTATACTTTCTTGGTATACTTTTTTGGTCTGGTGTTCCGGATATTGAACCCACTTTAAGCAAATGGAGAGAAAACCTTGTTCCTAAAGAGAAACTAGGAAGCCAGGAGAGTGAGAATCATGTTTGTTCTTTAAGCCTTTCTTTCCCTCCTGCCTCATGCTGTCAGGCTGAGTCATCTGTTTGCCTCTGCACCAGGTTGAAATAGATTTGACCTCTGTTTCTAAATGTGTTGCTTATAGCCTTTTGTCTGACTTTCTTGGATTTTCTAAATAGAGCAGATGACAGTGCTAATAAGAGTTTGAAGCAACATTTTGCCAGGTAATTCTAACATGGGGAGAATTCGTTGCACAGCAAAGGTGTATTGGCAACATAAGACCATAGGCGAGGTAGAATAGTGTTAATCAATAACGTAAGTGCTTTATTTGCTCCTATTTTGATTTAATTTGTGATCATATCCATTTTTCTGTCTTACAATTTAGACTCAGGTTGATGGACAACTTTTCTTAATTAAGCACCTTTTGATTCTTCGAGAACAAATTGCTCCATTTCACACTGAATTCACCATTAAGGAAATTTCCCTGGACCTCAAGAAAACTAGAGGTACTTTGTTGTCCTGGCTGGCACAGTTGGCTGTGTCTTACCTGTCTAGATGTGTCAGCACAGGGTTTAGGTTTATTTTATGTTCATCTGCAATTGTTTTGCATGCTTTGCTTGCTAAATGTATTACTTGTTTATACGAAGCTCAGCTGTCAACATCCTAATTATTTCTAACTTGCTGTATTTTCTTTATGAAGTGAGGTATATTTATAAAATTGCATTACCTCTCTTAGACTCTGCCATATACTACTATATCCGGTTAAAAAATGAAAAATCAGTATAATAACTACTTCCTAAGTAAGTAGTAAATGTCAGCCAATTCAGATCATTTAAAATACTGAGTTGAGTTTATCAGTTTATGAAAATTCAGGAGGCCAGCTGGATAAAATAGGAGCAGTACTTGTCCAGGAATCTGAAAGAGTGGGATCTTGTTCCTGTCTCAGGCTACTTCCTGGCTACTGTGTGATCTTGGATGGGTGTTTTAGCTTTCCTACCCCACCTTCTACCTAGGTAAAAATGAGCATAATCAACTTGTCATGATACTTTCACTAGGTTATCAAGATCATTAAAAATGAAAGTGAACAAAAAAGTGTGTGAAAGTGCTTTGCAAGTTTCAGGGCCTTAAATTTAGAAGAATGGTATAATTGTTAAATCAGTTGGTTTATAAGTAATCAGATAGATAAGGTTCTTGGGTTGGTGTAGACATCGAATCATGATTCATCCATCCTGATAATTTGTCTCTGGTTGAATTCATAAGAGATAATTTCTAAAAGATCAAAGTAGTTACTTTGTAACGTGTTGATCTTAAGAAAATATACCATGAACATCCCTCATTTCTCTTACTTTCAAATTTATGTAAACCATTTCCAAGAGATTTCCAGTCTGATTCCTAAGTCACTGTTTTATGTAATCAATTAACTTGTCTCTAATGTATTTGGGCAACTGAGAAAATAATCACTCATATTATTTTCACGTTCTGTGGTTCAGAGGAACTCCAATGTAGGATTTTCAAGGGTAGCAGGGTTTTAATTTTCTAATTACTGTGCTTAGTCAATAGTAGACTTAATTTTTCATAATTCACCTGAGATTCAACAGAGTTTCATCGTGAGTTATATGAAAACATTTTGCTTTTTATCTTTCCTCTTTTCTTTCTTTTTTTTTTTTTTTTTTTGAGACAGA